GGGGGGGGGGGCAATTATTGCTCCTATCTCAAAAGATCGCCCTTATCAACTTCTTGACATCATTCATTGCTGCATCAATTTCATAAGAATCAGATGCGGATTGGGGGGCAACCTTAACTCCGACTATGGTCAAAAAGTTCCCTTCAATATTTCAAATATTAAGAAGATATTTTAGGAAAATCTCAGCAAATGCAATGATACTTCCTATCAATAGTAAGCTCCATACAGTCCCCTGCTGGACTTTCTACTCCTTGGGCAAGGTCTTAATCTCAACCTCAAAAAGGCAGTAATGGTCTAAAGATAGACCCCTCTTAACCTTTGATTAGGGATACACACGGCATTCGCCTTCTCCCAATAAAGGCAAAATCGATCACAGGGGGATCCGATTCGACCTCTTCCACACAGGTTAACGTCGTCGAGCAAAGGCTCCGACTTACAACCTCGGATAGGTCTCACATCCTTGGTGGATTCTCTCGACCTCTTCCACACAGGTTAACGTCGTCGAGCAGGGCTTCGACATACAACCTCGGATAGGTCCTACATCCTTGGTGGATTCTCTCGACCTCTTCCACACAAGTTAACGTTGTCAAGCAAAAGCTCCGACATACAACCTCGGATAGGTCTCACACCTTTGGTGGATTTTTTCGACCTCTTTCATGCAGGTTAACGTTATCGGGCAAAGGCTCTAACATACAACCTCGGATAGGTCTTACTTCATTGGTGGATCCAATATCGGTTAACATCATCAAGCAAAGGCTCTGACAAACAACCTCAGATAGATTATACATCCTTGCTTAACGTCACCAGAATGTCGTCAATGGACTTCTGCACAAAGCTAAATTTCTACATGATGTTGAATTTCCTCCTGTCGCTGAATTTTTGCCTTGCAGGACTTTCGACGGACTAATATCCGACGTCGGACTTCTGTGTATCGTCGGACTACTACCTATCGACGGACTACTGGCCGTCGAGGGACTTTCGTCAGTCTTCTACCCGACTCAGTACTTCTACTCGATGTCGGACTTCTCCTTGTCATCAGACTTTTGCTCGTCAGCAGACTCCTACTCGTCGTCGGACTTCTCCTCGTCGACGAACTTTCGTCGGTCTTCTACCCGACACAGTACTTCTACCCAATATCAGACTTCTTCTTGTCGTCGGACTTCTGCTTGCCATCGGACTACTACCCGTCGTCGGACTTCTGCCCGTCGACGGACTTTCATCGGTCTTCTACCCGACATTGTACCTCTACCCGGCATCGGATTTCTGCGTGCCGTCGGACTACTAACCGTCGTCGAACTTCTGCCAGTAGACAAATTTTCATCCGACGCTAGAATTACACCCGTCACCAGACTTTTGCATGTAAGCGAACTTTGGTCGGACATATCTCTCTTGGTTGTGGGATCTCTCACAAGAAAAAAAGGGTCTCTTCAATTCAGCGAGGTGCCCTAGAATTACACAAGGAATACCGCCTGCACAATACCAGGTGAAGGCCTCAGCTTGAGGAGGAGGAAGAAAGAAGGGTCTCTTCAACTCAAAGAGGGACCCTGCTATTGGACAATGGAATTGTCCAAGGGGCAGGGGAAGGCCTCAATTGAGAGAAGAGAAGGAGAAGAAAGCTTTTTCTCGCAAAGAGGGACCCTGCTATTGGACAATGGAATTGTCCAAGGAGCAGGGGAAGGCCTCTACTGAGAGAAGAGAAGAGAAGGAGAATGTGCAAGAAATAAGACCCAGGGGGCCTATTTATAGAAAAAAAGAGGGAGTTCTCCCACTCTCCCACTCTCCCACTCTCCTACTCTCTCTCTCTCTCTCTCTCTCTCTCTCTCTCTCTCTCTCTCTCTCTCTC